CTCAGCCACGTGGTGGCTGGAGAAAAAAGACACAGTACAAAATACTAAAAAAAAAACGTACACCGTACTAGACCTAATCAAGCTTTACGCTAGCCCCTTACGTTCTCATAACGCTACATACAGAGGCAAGCTGGAAACATGCAAAAACACTTATCTGTAGCTGTCATTCCGGAGCTCTCCAAAAACACGTCCGACCACTACCACTGCATACAGGAGACGGTACCGCCATCTAGTGAACACTGCAAGAACTAAACTAGAGGTGGCTACATGGATGGATGGATGTGGCTGTACCCTTTACATCGGGCGGCGGCTAACGCCACGTAGCCGTAATACTTAGTGAACTAACCAATACATTTATCTTTTTTTTCCCTTTAAATAATGAAGTTGGGGATTCGTACTTCGCAGTGAAGGGTTTAATTTTCACTCGTGCCTTGGCTTTAGCCACCAATCAGATAACCTCCTTCTAGTTAAGTCTACCCGCTTAAAGTCTATTTTGCCCTCGCTGTCCCTAAATCCCAGTGCTTTGAAAAACTCTGCGCCATCATCCTGAACTATAGGGTGAAGCCCTTTACAGAACATTATCAAGTGTTCGGCCGTTTCTTCTTCCTCTCCACACGCACTGCATACTGTGTCTACCCCTTCGTATTTGGCCCGATATGTCTTGGTTCGCAGTACTCCCGTCCTGGCCTCAAACAGTAGAGAACTACCCCGAGTATTATCATAGATCCTTTCCTTGGCAATCTCCTGCTTAAAAGTTCGATAGATCTCTAGTGCGGACTTCTTAATCATGCCCATTCTCCACATGTCAGTCTCCGTTTCCTTCACTTTCTTCTTAACCAATAGTTCTTTTTGGTTTGGCCCCCTGCTGTTTTCTAAGTATTTACCAGTCAACTTCCTGGTTCGCTGCCTCCATTTTGTATCGACATTCTTCATGTACAAGTAGCTGAAAACCTTCCTAGCCCAACGCTCTTCCCCCATTTCTCTCAATCGCTTCTCAAATTTTATCTTGCTGCTAGCTTCCCTGCCCTCAAATGATGTCCATCCCATATCACCTTGTACTCCCTGATTTGGTGTATTCCCGTGAGCTCCGAAAGCAAGCCTACCTATTCCACCATTACATACAGGGGACGGTACCGCCATCTAGTGAACACTGCAAGAACTAAACTAGAGGTGATGATGATGATGATGATGAAAAACATTTAATATAAAAGAGAGAGGTACGGGGCCAAAGCATGACCCCGCTACATGGTCGGCGTCCTTAGTCCGGGACACCGCATGACGAGGCCCCTACTCGCGCCCGTCTCACCAGAGCCCGTTGAGACTCTAGTGATGAGCAGTTGAGGAGGGCAGTCTCCCATGCCTCTCGGGAAGGGGTAGGGGAAGGGGGTAGGTGGGGATTTTTCGGGCATGCCCATACTATGTGGAAGATATCACACGTCTCCCCACAGTGTGGGCACCGCCCATCTGTGTTCGCATCGAAATGTTTTAGGATTGCAGGACAGAGTAGAGTACCTGTCTGCAGGCGCCTTAGAGTTCGCTCTTCCGCCTTACTCAGCCCCTTTGCGGGAGCCGGGTAAAGGCGGTGAGTGTCACGATAATAGGTCAGAATTTCTTTGAACCACAGCAGCGGTGTATTGGACTCTGAGTCATAAGAGCCAAGGTGAGGAGCCCGGTGGGTAAGCGCTCGGGCGGCCGCGTCAGCGGCCTCATTACCTCGTAAGCCCTGATGGCCAGGAGCCCATACGATGCGTTTCGGGGCTGGATCAGCGAGAGCCCGTTTAGCAGCAGGGCAGTCGATGTGACAGACTGAGTGAGCAACAAAAGTGATCGGGCGAAGACCAGCTGCATTTGAAGTGGTCGTCGTTCATAGCGTTGGTGAAGAGACGGACGCAGTTCCTGCTGTCAAGTTCATCGGGCGACGCATCACTGCAAGGTGAAGCCTGCTTTGTGCTCTCTCGGGACCCCCAAATTTGTTTTTACTAAATGCACTTGCGTTCAGGCACTTTCTGGGAGATGGCGGACTCAGATAGAGATGTGATACAAGGGACGCCGTTAGTGATTCGGATCGCACCCGAGTGTAGAAGCTTGAAAATAAAGCGCTGAAGCTGAAGCTTGAGCTACAACAGATTAGGTTGTCGTGTGCTTTATCAGAAGAACCGGAAAACCGGAACCAGCTAATGAGTATCAGGCGGTACTAGAAGGAGCTAAAGGCAGTCCTTGCACCCATGCCCACTGATTAGCCTATGATTCCCACCTGGTTCAAAAACATGGAAGCACTTTTTGCGGCATGGAACATACCCGAGGATATTCAGGGCACGATTCTATTGCCATTTCTTAGTGACAAGATACGAACATTCGTTGGCAATCAATCTGAAGCGGGCGTAATGGCATACTCAGATTTTAAATCTGAGTGCTAAAATAGCTGCGGTTGACTCCAAGCGAATACCACCACATGTTTCTACTCATTCGCGAACACCGCGAAACACATATACGTGTGCCGCAGGAAAAAACAGCGAACGAAATACGCAGTACTCACAGAGCAAATACGAGACGCATTGGTGGGCTCCCAGCCGGCTCGCTTCACTTGAGCCAGCCATAGTTGTCGTCGGCCAGGGCTCGCTGGGAAGCGGAACATTCGCACCCCCTTTCTGTTGTGGTTAGTGCAGAGCGGTACGCAGCATCCAGTCATTCTAAGGCTTCACCGGCAGCGTTTAACACGCTACCGCAACGTTCGACGCCGTATTATTGAGAACTAAACGCAACCGGGCGTAGACGCAGTGCGGGCACCAAGATGGGGCGACAGCGCGGCGTTGCTGTCTGGCAACATTGTGTTTTGGCGGGCGGCGGTGCGTTGGCGGCATGTAGTGGGTCAAAGGCAGACATCACCCTAAAAACGGTCGTTCATGTAGGCTCCCTAGTGTGACCTAAAGTCCCTGAAAAATAAACTAAAGTAGTGCCAACCACACCCCTTCACCTCTACCTCCTCTCCCAGCAGCCACAGCAGCGCCTCTAGAGTGTCCACCAGGAAACTACGAATGCGAAAGCACGCGGGCGCACTGGATGTGCCAGACGCTTGGGCAGCTCGGGCACTGCTGCGCCGAGCGTTTTTCATCGAGCGGCCGTGCCTCGGGTATGCTGAAAGGGTATGCCGGTGGCGTCTGTTCGGGGAGCGCGCGCTCGCTTCACAGAAGCAAAGTCTACGGCGGCCATCGTTCCGAGATTCTTCATCGCTGCCCCAGCGTGTGTGCGGCGTTGCCAGTATTTCGTATTCGGTACACTTCCTTTGCATTTCATTCGTCGCTGAACAGTTCTTTGTATCGTTAGTGTGGTGACATTACTCGTTCGTTGGTCGATTCGAAGGAATAGAAAGCTAGCTACCCCTCGCAAAACAGGCAATGGATCGTTCTACGTTTTCAAAGCAAGTGTTTTGTGCGAAGAAGCCAACCTTTCTACTGTAGAAAAACTACGAAAGCAACTATGACTTTGGCACGCTCTTCTTGGACCGTCGGTACCGAAAGCTTTAAAAGGTCGCCGCAGCAATATTTAATACAGCGCCGTGCGCAGCCGAAGGAAAGACTCAGATATACGTTGTCGGCGCGATCCCAACAGTTCGAGTTCACCGTCAATTGCATGAAGCGACTGCGTGGGCGGGCGAGTTAGGCCATGTGATACTATTGGCAAGTGCTGACAAAATCAGGTCACATGGTCATGCTGATTCTTTCTTCGGTCTGTGAGGTTATATGCTGCTCGCATTATTTGATGTACAGTAATTTAAACAACTACTGCACATCGTGTGCGTATATTAACCGACGTGGCTTGTTACAGTCCGCATAGAAGGTATATTGAGATGTAAACTAGTGTAAAACTGGGTGAGTTCGCTCATATTGGAAAAAAAAGAAAGCGCAGCTGAGGAGGCAATAGAGTCCATAGAAGTATTACGTAAGACAGGCGGTAAACAAACGAAATACTATCTGAAGAATACAAAAAAAGATATCGCGCATGCATAGTGCTTTTTAGCATCTCTCTCTAGCAGCTGAATGCACAACCCAACAAATAAAACATATATGAAGACTTAACTTTGTCCTTTTTCCCTGCATTTCTCTTCTATCTGCCAACGTGTTTGAAAGTTTAACCTCGCCCCGCCGCGGTGGTCTAGTGGCTAAGGTACTCGGCTGCTGACCCGCAGGGCGCGGGTTTGAATCCCGGCTGCATTTCCGATGGAGGCGGAAATGTTGTAGGCCCGTGTGCTCAGATTTGGGTGCACGTTAAAGAACCCCGGGTGGTCTAAATTTCCGGAGCCCTCCACTACGGCGTCTCTCAAAATCATATAGTGGTTTTGGGACGTTAAACCCCACATATCAATCAATCAAAGTTTAACCTCCTCGACAGGACCTAAAAATCTGCATACAAGGGGTGCATGCAGCCCGACCATACTATCATTTGCGATTGCTGTAAAACATATTCCAATTGGAGACTTGCAGTTGTTAGTCCAGCATGTGTCCAATCAAATTTTCTACCTATGTTCTCGTCCATGCTTTTATTCTTTTAATAGGTGTGTTAAAATACAATCAATAAATATGAGTAAGCATAGCTTGCTCCATAAAGAACACATCTCAAGCTACTTGGTTGTTATTATTATAAGGTACGAACAGCTCGCATTTCACAAGGACAGAGGTTGGGGTAGTGCAATAATGTGCATAATGTTTCTCCTCTGTGTTCTGGTGAGGTCCATACCGTTTGTGTCCAGTGTTGCATGAAGTTCCTTCTTTGCACATATGATTGTCCCCATTGTTTAAACAGAATACATCTCTCTTAGAATAATGTTTTACACTTACATACCGGCTCTAGGCCACTCAACATCCATCACACCTCGGTCTTTCCTGGCATGAATACATAAGAATGACTGCGTCTGGGAAGGCAGTATTGAGTACACACGTATACTTGGGATGTTCATGGCATGACATGTTTATGCATATGCCATCATAATAGCATGCAATATGTCAAGCGAACAAAAGGGCCTGGTATTTATTAGGAAACCATATTCCATAATGTCACTTCATTGATAAACACCAAAGTTTAAGTACAGTTGATTCTATGCAAAAACTGAATGAAGGGCACAAAACATGACATCTATTCAACATTTCATGAAAATGCAGGACTGCCTCAATCATACATGATAATTATGCAGTGTACACAATAAATGACATGAAATATGTGCTAACGGTGACTTGTTGCTATACGTGCACATCACAATGACAAGAGTAAAGAAAAGTGATGGCATTCGTGGTGCGCTCACAACTAGGGACAAGTGGACGCAATTTGTGCCAAACACCTTTATCAAGATTAACACTCCACATCTGGAATTTAGCGAATGAAATGAAGTACACATATTGAACTTTTGAAAGCACAGGAATAGAAAGTAGACATGGAAAGCCCCTACTGGGGATATGCAAAACATATTATGCAGATATGTAGGCATGAAACAGGACATACATGAAAAAGACAGAATAAAACATTTAATAGGCACAGCAAAACCACGGACCTAATCATAGACTAGTGAGGGTAACAACAGCTCTATCTGAAGAGAATAAGAGCAAAATTAGCCACTAAAATAGAGGCCAACCCAGATGTAGTTGGAATAAAAACACACGAGCTTATAATTGCCCTCAACAACAAGTGCAAAACTGAAAAAATCATAGGGCAACAATAGCTTCAGCCTCAAGACAACAAGAGGAAAATCAGCCACAGGCTAACCTAGCAGAAGTCAAAATAAAAATACACGAGCTTAGAATTGCGTTTGGCAAGAAATGCAAAGCAAAGAGAGGAAAAACGAGATAACAGACACAGAAGCAATGAACAAAACCATTACTACACTGACATCTGAAGCAGAAATTTAAGGCGGTAAACCACCAAGGCAGAAAGTAAGCGAAATTTCCCGAGTGACGAGAAACATAATGAAAAACAGGGACACTTGACACAGAATATTAAAAGTAGGCTTAGCTAAGTTAACAAAGCTTCTCATCAAGAACTCTAGTCACACAGAATTACAACGTAAATGAGATCGAGACACCACCCAAGCTACTTAAAGGGAACTGCTTATAAAGGACCAAAATGTACACACTGAAACAAACAGGGCAAACGTGTTAGAACTTTCAATGACATTATGACGGCAACTGAAAACATCTGCTCTGAGCTGTACGGATCAAAGATAAGTAATTACTGTTGAAATGAAATCACAATATGACAAAACACTGCAGTTCCTCATGTACGGTACTTGGGGATTCAAACGCAACATCAAGTTTTTGGGGATAACTAATATGCACACCTGCTCGAAATAACCACGTCTTGTGATAAATATAGTATCTAAGAATAATTTTGGCTCTGATATACACGTTCTAGTCGAAATTACGCCAATATGACCCGAACTTAACGCAGTGTCAACAAAAGTATGTGCGTTACTGAGACCATAAGTCCTGCATTTCAATCCGTGAGTACTGTACCTACAGACTAGGTTAAGAGGCCATACCACATATGCATCATAGAAAAATGGAAGGAAAACACGAAAGAAATGAGGCATACACACTATTTTACATTGGTTGTAGCAGCCTGCTTTCCAATGCTACGACTACCAGTTTTTGCATCTTCAGCTTCATCAGCTGCCAAACGTATATTCTCTTTCCGCTGAAGAATGTTAGTTCTGGTTTTAAAAAATGCTCTCAGCAACCTCTCCTGATGAATGTTGTGGCAAGGTCGAAAACAATTGACAGCTTACACACTGTCATTAGTGGTGGCCACAAGTTGACCAATCGTAACTTCATTGCACAGAAGCTTGTTGCTATTCCCTCTAAACATATTCTCAGCTGTTTCGAGCAAATGAAGTACTGCTGGCCCTGGTGATACGAGCTTGCTGTCATCAGTGTAGGATTTTAACTTTGTGAGCACACTAGCTTCGTTCGACACTGTGGCAGTTTTGCACTGCTCACAAATCTCTGTGTGCTTTGCAACACTCTTTACCACAAACCCAGCAAGGTAAATAAAAGACTCATGCTCCATCATGCTTATGTCGAGAAGATCACTGGGATATTCAACAGCTTCTGTATCATTGCTGTTAGGAGCTGTTGCGTGGCAATTTTCGATGCCAACTAAGGAAGGAGCACCGTCGATAGCATAGCTTCCACTTCTACTGGGCCGAAAGAACTGTGCCAAAGTAGCAGCTTGAATAGCACTACGAAATTGAAGAGCTTTTGGTACTGCATTCTTCGCCCTCAGAGTGGAGAACAAATTCTCAAGAGCATCTTGGGCAAACCGGCTGAGCAAAACAAAAAAGAAGCCCTTCTCATTAAGATAATAATGCTGCAGTTCCAATGCAACTTTACACACCAAAATTATGCCCGTCTGCACAGGCTTCCACACGTGTTTCGATGGAGAGCCTATCTTCAGATCTGTAAAAAGAGTTACCATATCCTTTAAAAAAATCACTGAGTCCTCATATTTCTGATCATTTAACTTGCTGATGCCAAGCTTCGTTGTACGTGATGTCAGCACTTTGAACCACCTTGAACCAACAGCATGAACCATGCTGTTGTCAACGCTTCTTGGGGCAAATCTCCCCTTTGGACCAGGAAACGTAGTGCAGCTGCAGTATCGTGATTTAGCAACGAAAATGCAGGCCCCACTTTCATTTTCTCATAGTGTCCTGGGTCCAAGAAGAATGGTTTCAAGTGCGGTGCTATGTTTAATTGCAGTTCAGAGTCTATTTCTACCAGCTTCTGAATCGGCACAAGGTTAACCTCATTCAAGACAGCTTGTGCTTTTCGACCACATTTTCGGGAAGGAAAATCGATTGACCACGTGTGAGGTGGTTCCTCAAGTTCTTTAGCAAATGTGCGGTGTCTTCCATAAAATAAAGCTTGCGATTTTGGTCAACAGGATGACAACAAGAAACTCTTGACACAGAATGCTTTCCCACAACTATGCCAAATTCTCTCCAGAGCGCCATATTCCCACCACCCATGTCGCTAACGACTGCATCTATACGAACCCCGATTGTTTCACATTCCTGAATAATTTCAATCAACTGTTCTTGAACTGCAGCACTGCTGAACGAGTTTCCAGTAAGATGATAAGCAACTGTCTGCTTCCATCTTTGTGTAACCCCACCCAGCATGAAAACAAGTCCATGCGTTGCCACTGCAGCATGTGGCAGAGAACCGTCGGCCAAAGGTAAAGTTGGCGTTCCAATAACAGTGCCAGTCGTTTGGTCAAACGCAAGCCCTGAGCTCAACTGAATTTCATCAAGGATCAAAACTTCATGCCTCCCATGCTCCTTCATGGTGGTTATCTGAAATATGCAACATGCATTAGGCAACAAAAACATTAATAAAGACATTTAAAATACAATGCTTTTCAAGAATAAACAGGCAGTGCACAGTGCAAGCTGTATTTCGATGTTTGCATGCAAGAAGATTATCACCTATTGAAATTTATGTGGAATTGTGCCTAGTTAGAGGACCTGAAGTCATAAGTGAAGGAAAGGTGAGAATATGTTGTGGAAACTTTATGAACGGCCGCTAAAACGTGCACGACAAACAGCGCAGTGACAGGCACTAACACTGGCACTAGCAACACATGAAAGCTTAATAAATATTAGGGTTTACATGCGAAAACCATGATACGATCATGAGACATGAGTCAAGTAATAAGTCCTGATCGGGACGATAACTTCATTTCATTACACGATGCAAATAACACTCCTTTTGCCGACACTGATTGTCCTCATGTCTTTAATTCATTCTTTTCATCCGTGTTTACTAGCGAGCATGCTCATCTTCCAGAAATTGTTGAACGCGATTACTCATTCATGTCACCTATAGATATCACAATTGAAGGCATAGTTAATATTATTGAAAATCTGAAGATGTCATCATCTTCTGGTATTGACAATATCAATTCAAAAATATTAAAGAACACTGTTTATGTGTCTGGCAATATCCTGCTTCACATTTTTCGGCAGTCGCTCGCTACAGGAATGTTGCCTTCTGACTGGAAGATAGCGAAGGTAGTGCCAGTTCATAAAAGTGGTAGTAAAAATTCACCTGGAAATTATCGCCCCATTTCCTTGACGTGCATATGTTGCAAGATTCTTGAGCATATCATAGCTTCTAACATTTATGCACATCTAGAATCTAACAATTTCTTTTTCACAAACCAGCATGGGTTCCGAAAGGGTCATTCTTGCGAAACTCAACTCTTTGAGTTCACCACCGACCTACATTCTAACATGAACAGTAATCTACAGACAGACTGTTTATTTCTTGATTTTGCAAAGGCATTCGATCGTGTTGCTCATTGTCGCTTGATATTAAAACTGTCATCACTAAAACTTGATTCACTCACGCTAACATGGCTCAGAAACTTCCTAACTAACCTCCAACAGTTCACTATCGCCAACAATCATTCTTCATCACTCTGTTACGTTTCCTCTGGTGTACCACAGGGCAGTGTTCTTGGTCCCTTACTTTTCCTCATCTACATTAACGACCTGCCTGACAACTTATCCTCATGTATGCGTATATTTGCCGATGACAGCTATATCTATCGTCCCATACGAAACAATAGCGATCATCTAACCCTTCAAAAAGACCTCGAGCATATAATTGAGTGGTGCAAAACATGGCAGATGACACTTAATGTTTCCAAATGCAAACTAATCACCTTTAGTCGCAAATGTGATAACTTTAATAGCCAATACAAAATTGATAATAGCATAGTAGAACGCACTGATCATTACAAATACCTAGGCATAAACTTAACTTCTACACTTTCGTGGTCCACACATATCACTGCTATCTGTGCCAACACATCAAGATCATTAGGTTTTCTGTGCCGAAATCTATACAGTGCTCCCTCTGATCTGCGCAAACTGGCTTATCTTGCTCTAATCCGTCCTCAACTGGAGTTCGCATCCTCCATTTGGTCACCATATCAACAATACCTCATAGATAAGTGAGAATGTATACAGAACAGAGCTAGTCGATTCATAGCGCGTAATCACAGCTACCCATCCAGCGTAACACAGATTAAACATAGCCTTGCACTCGAGCCACTGAAAATTCGCCGCGACATCTCACTTTTATCACTATTTCACAAACGCATTCACACCAGCATGACGCCATCTGTTCACCTTAATCTAGCACATCGAACTTCGAGCAGACTACATAACACCTTTAGCTTATCACGCATGTACGGCAATTCTAACGCTTTCAACCAGTCGGCTCTTCCACTAGCTATTCGTTTGTGGAATGATTTGCCAGATGATCTTGCGTCAGAACAAGACCACAAAAAGTTCTATCATACTCTTAAAAAATACTTATGCACCAAAAACTGCTCTATCGCATCTTCGTAATCATCAGTGTTTCTAGGACTGTTGCCGATGTTTTTCACTATTGCTAGGTTGTAGTTACTGTCATAATAGTTATTTTTGTATTTCACTCACTTTTCTAGTATGTATTTTGCTTACATGTTCATAAGTAGAAATGCATTTTCTATTGTATTCATTATTTGCCTATGTATGTGTAGATATTACATATATGTATTTTTCTAACATATTATCTGTACCGCCCCCCTTACACAATGCCCCTCGAGGGCTCTGTAAGGTACTGTAAATAAATAAATAAACATGCCATAGTGGAAGGCTCTGAAAAAGGCTTTTGCTCAAGGTGTACTGCTGAAAGAGATGCTCACGAGAATAAATGTAACAAATATATTCAGCTACACCATCCTTTCACCTGAAGCAAGAGACTTCAGAACCTCATGCTGAATTCCTGGTGAGAACTTGTAGTTTTCAACACGACGTTGTAAAGTTCTTTCACTCGGAAGGGGTACAGCAAGCTCCCTGACCGCATTGTAGCCTCTGGATCCACATGCCAAACGGAGCTTGAGGCCTTTCTGTAGAGTCTCAGTAGACCATTGCTTCCCTCGCATACTGGAAGTCCACATGCCTTGCAGTTGATCTGGTGACAGGTACTTCTTGATGTTTCGCGCGAGTTCGTGGTTTCTACGGTTTGCTCTGCTTTTCTGTTGTTGCAGTGTAGCAACTTTCCGTTTCATGTCGTTCAAGCACTCTTTCAATGTAGCTATGCTTTTGTGAAGGGCAGCTACTACTGCTTGATCAGCATCCCAACTACTTGAACTCGAGCCTGCAAAGTGCAGATTGAGCAGGAAGTGACGAGAGTTTGAAAATTTCACTATTTAACCCAGACTAGCATGTGAGGGAGAACCATAAGGATTTAAAAAAACAAAAAAAAAATCAGTGCCACTCCATATTATTCAGCAGAAAAGTGTAAGCGTAGCTTTTTGAGAACAAAACAGTGGTTTTAACAAACAGCATAAGCTGACACTGTTGCTCAATGAAGAGGGACAAATGGAGCTGCGCAGAACCCGCAATGCATGCAGCTGAACTATTTTTTTGGTGGGGGCGTGTCCTTGATCCGAAATAGGGGCAGGACAGTCAAGTGTCGTCACGTCTCACTTTGTACTCTGTGTGTGAAGGCAGAAAGACATTTTGGGAGCAGCAAGTGTCCGGTGTACCACCTCCTAGCTATACCAATAGTTAGTAATGAGTAAAGACATGAATATATGGCACGTATCGTATTTACACGATTGTAAGACGACCCTTTTTTTCAAATTTGACAATCCAATGTTGGGGGGTCGTCTTAGAATCGAAATCGAACCATGTACCTTAGAATCGAAATCGAACCATGTATTGTCATCTCGAATAGTTTCCCGCTCAACCCAAAGCGCATAGTTTTCCGCGTGCTTATACAAAATCTTTTCTTTTTTTAGCATCTACTGCGCGCATTACGAGTGCCTTTATGACGAGCGCACGGCTCTTGAGGGAGCACCGGTAATCGATGGAAGAGCCGCCGTAGGGGGGTACTGATAGTTGACGGAAGAGCTCCTCTTTGTGATACAATTTTCTAAGCGGGCGCGTCGCCGCGTGCTCCTGTCGCTTGTGTCCACGACCGGCTCTCTCGAGTCACTTTTGTCTGACATGAGTGCCGTAGGCTCGAAGAACACTTGGCGCTCGTTTACGGCAGCGTTTAAGCGGGCTGCTATTCTTCATGCGATAACCAACAACTGTGCAGCAGGACGGAAGTTCGGAATCGGTGAATGTGTGGTGCGGAAGTGGCGGCTTCAGCGCGAGGAAATTTTCTCGTGCGACTCCAAGCGCCGTGGCTTTCACGGGCCGAAGTCTGGCCGCTTTTCGGAACTAGAGGCGAAGCTTGCGGCCTACTCACACTTGACGACGACGTGCTGTGGGACTGCAGCAGCAATGACGGCAGCAGCACCAGCGAGGACGACTCCAGCGACGATGAATAATCCTCCCCAACCACGTGAATAAATTTCCCTTGTGTAAAATGCACGAGTTCTTTTTTTTTTTTTTTTTGAGATGCGATTTTGGGGGGGTCGTCTTACATTCGAGTCGTCTTACAATCGTGTAAATACGGTACTCTCGGTTATGACGTAGGGTTATCAATGGCGGTGGCTATTTCAAATGAAGTGGGGAGAGTGCCATGGTTCCACTGTTGTAGCTTTTTTTGACAGAGTTGCTACAAGACGGCAGCTGATTGCGTGTCACAAGTGATAGTGTGATGATGTTGCACAATGTGTAGCAGTGTGCTATGCATTACTGTACACAACACACAGCTTACATGTTCCTCCAATAAACTTACATTGTGTGCGACTACTCTCGCATCACAAGAATGAGCATACCAGCAAAAGAAACGAAACAGGGCACCAGTACTTGGAGCGCATCCGCACTATTAAATGCACCAATATATCAATCTGTTATGAGCATGCACGTAATTTCCGGTAGGCGGCGATGTGTCACACTCAAGTGTATATCGCATAGTGTGTGAAAACATTAGCACTGAACACTTACCCGTGACATCAGCTGTGCCATCAGCAGACAGAAATCCTCCACAGGCAGCACAAAAGTTCTGCTGAGCTGTAAATGACGGATAATCTTATTAGTAGTACTGAAGACAAGTACAGTCACCAAAGCTTTCAATTTGCACAGTTTCAGCACAGGCAATGAGGGATGGCCAGTGACTAAAATTAAAAAATGTATGATACTGAACAGAAATTTCACTCACACTCAACAGGCACCGTCAAAGCTTGAAATGGCTGGCAGCTCGATTCATGGGTGGTTTCCACACCTGCGCACATATGATAGTTGGAACCAACAAAACCATCTGGCAGACACATGCCTATACAAATCATGAAAAGTAGTACTCACCTGCTGAACAAGCTGTTGAACAAGCTGGCAGTGCGTCACATTCGCAACTTGAGGGTGCATCTGCAACATGAGATCAACAATAAATTTTGTGAAATTTCAAAGCAACATGTCACTGCCATTACCTTCTGGAAAATCCGATAATGCTGAATCAGTAGCAGTGTGACCTAAAAAAGATAAAGACAAATTGAAGAAGACCATCATCTCTGTTACATCGCATTTTGGCAAACAAGCATCAACACTACTTGAAGCATTTACAATACGCACAGGTGCATTACAATTTTTCAGTAATAAGAATGCATGCCAAAGCCCAAGCGACAATGCTTTCAATGCTTGCAATGTGCTGAACACCATACTGCGGAGCAAAATGCTGTGGATCTGCAGCACACCCCTACAGACATGATTGTAAAATATATAAACCAATGGATACAAGTTACAAGCCGTTACAATGCTTCGACAACATGCAGCATGTGTGTTAGCTACGTTACCTTGTGAAGAACCTAACCCTGCTTGAGTAGCATCACTGTTGGCTCCATAGCCTGCAAATTATAAAACATCAATGAAGGCATAAAGCACGTTTGTAATTACGATAAGTAATAAATGCAGTAAGAACTCATTATCAACAGCAGCTGGTGTCAGAAGCACATTCGTAGCTGATGGGCAGTGTGTCTCTTTGGCTTCTGCATAATCCAAACATGTATTAATGATAACAAAGAGGGAAAAGGCGTGAGATGTGCTTAACCGTCAACTCACCATCAACAAGAGCAGCTGCTGTTAGTAGTAGATTAAGGCCACAAGATGAGCGGGCTGAATCATTGCATTCTGGAGAATGAAAAAAAAAATGCATTAATTATACCAAAGAAAAGCCATTAGCTATACACAAACAGTGCACAACACCTATATGCAAGACGACATGTTTCAGGTTGTGAAAGGCTGAGAAGTAATTATGGGTGATGCAGAAAACAATGAAGATGGACTAAACATTTTCCAGTTTTTTAACGCGATTGGCTTACCTAACGTTTGCAAATGCTCTTGACTGAAGATCGTAGGCGCCGCGTCTCTCTTCAACTTTTTAGTACCAAACTTGCGCAGCAGTATCGGCTCGAATTGGTCCGCAGTGAAGTGGTCCTAGGTAAGGAAATATTCGCGGCTACTGTTACACAATGAAACAGCACGCTCTAAAAGAAACTAAAATAACCTTTAGTGTCAACACGTACACGACTACGCACTGTTTGCCACATTCTCTTCCCAACAGACTAGCACACGGTGCGTACAGTATGTAGAAATATGCACCATTTAGCCTTGCGTGTCCTTATTTCAACCACAGAGCTTCTGAATACTGAGCGCGCTGGAGCACATGCTTAAACGAAATGATGCGACATTCAGGTCGCTGCCCACGCCTTTATACATAAAGTCCTTACACCCATACACACATACACGCGGGAGTCTAACTATACGTCGGCCAATAAACAAAGTTTAGTTTAGCACTTGAATGTATCCATTACATTTACTTTGTAACATAGTCGACGATTATTTCTGGATCAAACGAGTAATAATAATAATAATAATAATATCTGGAGTTTAACGTTCCAAAACCACAATTTGATTATGAGGGACGCCCTTTTGGAGGGCTACGGAAATTTCGACCACCTGGTATTCAATAACGTGCATATAATGCTAAGTACACAGGCCCCAACATTTCCGCCTCAATCGAAAATGCAGCCGCCGCGGTCGGCATGGATCAAGCCCGAGACGCAACGTTTACACGGAACTAAACGCGGCACGCGTTTCAACTGGCATGCACGTTTACCATCGACGCGGTTACTCTCTTTGTGTGACGCTCGAGCTTGACAGTACCACAACACTGTAAACACGAATACAAGCGAAACGATAGAGTTTAGCTCGCCGGTACTCACCTCACAAAGCCGCCACAATACAGGGTCCAAGTCAGTCCTTTCGATACGCTGGAGCCACACTTCTTGCCGAGCGGCATTGTCTTTTCCTCGCGGAAGCAAAAATAGCTTCTTTCCTCTGCTGTACCTGCTTTTGCAACCGCTGGCACAGCAGGTCGGCATCCCGAAACGTGCAGGATTACCGTGCAAACACTCACGCGCGATCTAACTCCGGCTACACAACAATACCAAGCGCGCACGCCTAGCCACAAATAAACACCGCGAAAGTGGACAAACAAAATGGCGTTTGCGATACCTTCACTTAGGCTAGTGCACCATGCTGCAGATTTTTAGCACCGCCGAGTTTATCACATGGACAGCAGTGGCGCTGCCATCGAGAGCGACATCATTGAGCACGTCTGCATGCAAACGGTGGGCTATCGCGTTGAGTATTGCCTGCTTGCGGTGAAGTCTTTTGCCACTGCATGCCACTTGCTTATATACACGTCACATTGTCGTATTTACGTTATTTTTTATATTATTTTTCTTTCTCAATTACTCTTTTGGTGCATCGCCTAGAACAGCAGCGCCCAGATGTGCTTTAACGGAAACATGAGCACAAGCTCATCTTTGCGGCCAGGAGCCATACAGCCCCTTAACTAGCGTTGTTTACTATCTGCTATGCACGCGAGGGGAGAGTAGAGGTGTGCGCCGAGGCGATTTTGACCGGCGGCGGCGTGGGGGTCGTCCAGAGTCGGCGGCGGCGGCGTTGTCGGCGCACGCCGGTTTTTTCATTGGCGGCGGCGTGCGGCCAATTTTCGTCGGCGGCGGCGGCGTCGGCGGCGCAGAAACCGAAACTGAAAATTCAAAAGGCTCTTCCGCCACAGGTTACTGAATTAGTTGAAATTCAGGAATTTTAATCCATATAGCATAAATGACACTACACAGATGTGTCGACATCCCGATGAATGCAAAACGTTTTGTAAAATAGTTTTTATTTCGCTTTCATGAAAAAATAACGCGTATTTCAATCTATGTCCATGTTCTACGGTAAATGTGCAGCACTTTGCTTTTTTTTTTTTTTAAGATGCATCAGTTTGTTGTTGTTGTTGTTGGCAACGTCATACTTCATGAAACCTTTTTTCATTGAACAATGAGCAAGCAGTGACGCACGTCACTCATTTCGCTTTTTCCGGATCTGATCTTACTTTTACATTGTACGCTGCACAAAAGAAGAAGCACCTCTGCTTCCAGTTTTCTTATTACGATTGCATGAAACCGCTTTTTTGAGTATCTGTCATGCTTTGAATGTAACTCTCCTTCAAACGAATCAAAATACCTACTTTTCACAATGTGAGAATCTTTTATGCAGCGGTATAGGATGCGGAAGGAGACAAATCTGCGCATTTATTCAACTAGTTCTCAGCGCGGTGTTCAATAAATGAAGTGTAGGCATGGGCGTGGGCGAGGAGGGTGGTGCAAAAAGGACACTTGAACGCTTCAAGCTCCACCAGCACTTGCTACCCACTCTAGTGACACCAACACGACCTACTCCATCAGTCGTGATGCAAGTTGAAAGAAGGCTTTGCATCCCCCCAAGACAAAAACCTGTCGATGGTCATATGTGCAAATGAGAGCAAATGCAATATTGGCTCAGATAGACAGCCCATACTGGTCACGAGCTGGGCGTCCGTTGACCACGCCTGCAGAGAACGTTGACTCCCCGACCCCTTTGTGTTTGGTTAGGGCAGGGGGACACCCCTTCCAAGTGGGCCCCATTAAAATTTCTTTTTAAAAACGTCACAAATAAGAATGCTTGATAAGTGTGTCTAAAACATTCAACTTTTCAATGCTTTTTTGTAGCGTGTTCACGTGCTCAATACCCATAAGATGTGTAAGAAATCGAAATAGCAACTGCCACTCTCGACTTGTTCCGAAAAAGACACAATAGAACAATGCAATTACGAGTGCTGGGAACCTTTGTTCTTTTGTATATTTGATATCTAGGCATGATTTGAATTCCTATATAAACAAAAATAAAACCTGCAACATATTTAAAAAAGGCTGCTATTGCAAGATGTGTGTTGCAAGACGTGATTTTTCTAGACTTAAGGCTCTGCAAGGCACATCTGGTGTCACAAACTTGTAAGTGTCCCCCCCTTTTCCCCACGACATCTCCTGATTCCCCCCCCCCCCTCTAATAAAAAGGCACCAATGTAGGCATCCGTAGGCCTCCGTGATTGCCTACTGGCGCGCGGCGGGCCATTCCGGTGGCTAGATCCAACAGTGGCGATTTCGACTTGCTTTATGGAGGTGCTGAAGGATAAAGAAAAGGCCGATATTTGTAAATTTCTTGAGAGTTCAGTGATAGTTTCTTCATGAATACCGTGGATTATTGGACCTCACTTTGTGTATAATGCTCCAATGAAAAAAAAATGGTTTCATCCTGTGTCACTGCAGAGTCAGAAGCCATCACATGTGCAGGCATCATTAAGCTTCTATATGACATTGCTAAGGTTCAGTACATTTGTACAAATAATTCTCGTTAATTGAACATTTTGAGTACAATCCTTGCTTGGGTTAGTATGTGTGAAACATAAATTTGAGATTTAAAATTATCATTGTGGGTTTCTGCAGCAAAGACACATTGATTAAAACTGATGACTCCGGAGCTACGGCAGAGGTAACATTCATTCTGTTTTTTTCGGTTACGGTAACGGTAATGCGTTACCTTTTTTATGTATCTATATAACGTAAAGCCGTGAAACGTTCCCCTTTTTCTTATTTGAGTAACTAGTGAGGTATTTAGTTACTCTTTACTGTAACGGATACATCACTAAATAGACTTACAGGAGTGATGTCGGCCCACACCGTTAGTTGTTGCGGTCTACAGGCTGGCTGTAAACATTACATGGAGATATATTCCTTTCATCCAGAAGGGTTGCTCCACCATTGAGGATCTAGACCTTTGAGGAATACACAACAGTTTCTTAATGATATGCATATCATCCCACCGAAGCGTGCACTTCGTTTCGCTAAAGTTTACAGTCAACGTCAGTGCGGTCGTCACGCGGTATGTTTTAGGTGGAAACTTAGCCTTCTCAAAATACGCAAAGACGTCGATCCACCGTGCAACGCGTGGCCACCCGATGACGGTTCTGTATGAAAATGACATCCACAGTGAAACATGTTGCATCTGCTGAAATCTTATGACAACATTATTATACTGCCACGCTCGCTAGTATTTTTATGTCACAGTCTTGCGCAAAGGCACTGCCGTAGTGGTTCAGTAGCTAAGATACTCGGCTGCTGACCCGCAGGTCGCGGGATCAAGTCCCACCTGCGGCTGCTTTATTTTCGATAGAGGCGAAAATGCTGTAGGCCTATGTGCTACGATTTGGGTGCATGTTAAAGAAACCCAGGTTGTCAAAATTTTCCGGAGTCCTCCACTACGGCATCTCTCATAATCACGTGGTGGTTTTGAAACGTTAAACACCACATATTAATCAGTTGCCTTGCGCAAAGGACGCTTGGCTGTCTGCGAACACTCTAGATTATTTTAAAATTTTCTGATAAGATTGAGACACCTACGATATGGATGCTACGTGTATAAATGGCGACGTACCTTCGCACAGATCATATTACCAACGACCAATGCTCTGATTACCGCTATCTGTGTAAAGCACGAATTTCGAGCACTTTGCACTTTCCTATGCACATGTTCACTCAATAAAAAGTGTCGTCTTGAGCAACCCACGTACCATCTTCTTTGACGTCGCAACCACGCGGCAATACCGTAAGTGAAATGAGAACGCTGAAATGATCGATACAAAACAATGAGATGGGGCATAAGTGCATGGCCAAGTTTTGTTTAAGATGCGTATACCACAAGCTATTGTGTTCTATAGAACCAATATGATGCGGATTTGT